TAACATGTTGGAGTATACGATATATAAAACTCCAAGGTATTACCTGGCTTAGTTTTTTCCTTTGAATAAGAGAAAAAAATCTACACAACAGAGAGAAACACTGTAGAAAGTTGGAGCCTTTCGACCAGACCAGGCACGGTGGGCTCATGCCCATAATCCCAGCTTTTGGTAGGCTGAGACGGATGGATCACCCTGAGGTCAGGAGTTCCAGACCAGCCTGGCTAACATGGTGAAACCCCCGTCTGTACTAAAAATACAAAAATAATCAAAAATTAGCTGGGCAATGGTGGTGGGTGCCTACTCGGGAGGCTGAGGCAGCAGAATTACTTGAACCTGGGGAGATGGAGGTTGCAGTGAGCTGAGATTACGCCACTGTACTACCAGCCCTGGGCAACAAGAGCGAAACTCCATCTCAAAAAAAAAAAAAAAAAAAAAAAAAGAAAAGAAAGTTGAGCATTTCTTCTAGGCTTGAAAATACTCTATCAGACTCCAAGAGGGGTAATGTTAGCGTTCAACATCTCTGGAAATGGAAGGTTTCCTGTGTCTGGGATCTGGCTGCACTTTGATTTCAGACCACAGGGTACATGACATCCCCTGGGAGATACAGCTGCACTTCAAAGTTCATCCTATCCACTGAAAACAAGTATACGCTTAGCACTTCTTAAAGTAGGCTATTTCTTCTACCCCTTGTTATTATAATCATAACATTTATCATTATATTGAGCAGATTTATGCAACATATTAACAAAAGCATTCTTAGTTCTATTGAAAGGAAGCATAAGAAAATAACTTTTATCTTCTAAAAGTACAGGAATTACTGAACAAACAGAAATTCACTCAACAGTCTTTCTAATGTGTGGAACCTATCTACTAAGTGCATTGTGTTTCCCAAACATATAAAGCCTGGGTGCCACGTGCTGTCATCTGGCTTCTGCTGGTGTTATAAGTTCAGTAAGTTAAGGCTAAACCAGGTGATCGGGATAAGAATTTTACCAGGCTCAGCAAACAGTATTTTGATATATTTAGAATCAGTCAGTTGCTGACCAGACGTTCTTGGAAATTGATCAGATCTGTCCTCCGTTATCCAGATTCTTCAGTAAAATTTCATCTTTACCTCGGGGAACAAAAGGGATTGGGGTGGGGCGGGCAGGGGGAGAGCAAATAGGAAGTAATGTGTAAATCTTCAACGAAATAGTCCATTATTTGATATAGAATTACTTCAGACTGTCTTCCAACCTCCCTATCATCCCAAATATTCTAGAAATCCAAAGGGAGCAAAATAATCAAACCCAGTAATACTGAACCAAGGAGGTCTCTGGCTTTTACAGCAAATTAATAATAGATCTCCTTGGTAATAAAGTTCAGTATTAGGGTGACCCATATTTGTACTAGTATAAAACCTAACTGGATTGGTAAAGTTAAATGACTTTACTAGCACAGCAATGAGGCTAATAGTGACAATCATGTGTCCATATTACACTTCCCTTTCCAATTTTTGTGGCTTTATGACTTAAAGTACAGTATTATTGTTAACACAGGGGTATTATTATAAAACTATAGTATTTTACCATTTTTCTTTGAATAAAATATTTTAAATGTCTGTAATATTCTTAAGTATGGTTTAGTGTTTTGTTTGTTTGTTTGTTTTTTAAGAGAGAGTCTCGCTCTGTTGCCCAGGCTGGAGTGCAATGGCGCAATTGTGCTCACTGCAACCTCCAACTCCTGGGTTCAAGCAACTCTGTTGTCTCAGCCAACCAAGTAACCAGGACTACAGGTGCACACCACCATGCCCCGCTAATTTTTATATTTTTTGGTAGAGTTGGGGTTTCACCATGTTGGCCAGGTTAGGCTTGAACTCCTGACCTCAGGTGAGCCACTGCCTTGGCCTCCCAGAGTGTTTAGATTACAGACGTGAGCCATCTTACCTAGCCAAGTATGGTTTAATTTTCATTAGAATTTGTATGTATTAGTTTTCAATGGCTGCCATAACAAAGTACCTCAAATTTAGTGGCTTAAAACAATACTTTAGGCTGGGCACAGTGGCTCATGCCTATAATCCCAGCATTTTGGGAGGCCAAGGTGGGCAGATCATTTGAGGTCACGAGTTTGAGACAAACTGGTCAACATGATGAAACCCAACCTCTACTAAAAATACAAAAATTAGCCAGGCATGGTGGTGTGCACCTGTAATTCCAGCTACTCAGCAGGTTGAGGCAGAATCGTTTGAACCTGAGAGACGGAGGTTGCAGTGAGCCAATATCACACCACTGCACTCCAGCCTGGGTGACAGAGCCAGTCTCTGTCAAAAAAAAAAAAAAAAAAAAAAAATGACCACACACAATACTTGATTATTTTACAGTTCTGTAGATTAGAAGTCTGGCATGTGTGGGCCAGGCTGCATTCCCTTCCAGAGGCTCTAGGATAAATTTCTGACCTTGCCTTTTCCAGCTTCCAGAAGCTTCCCTCATGTGGGTGTGGCTCAGGAATGCCTTCCTCAATCTTCAAAGCCAGCAATGGCTGGTCAAGTTCCTCTCACATCACATTACTATGACCTCCTCTTATGCCTCTTAATTTCACTTTTAAGTACCCTTGTGATTACTCTTGTCCCATCCAGGTGATCTAGGATAATCTCTCCCATCCCAAAGTCCTTAACCTAATCATATCTGCCAAGTCCCTTTTGCCATGTAAGGAAATATATTCACAGGTTCCAGGAATACTTTGAGGGCGCATTATTCTACCTAACACAGAATCCAAATTTTTTTTTGTGGAGCACATTGTCTACTTTTTATAATCGAGGACAATCAGAAACAAGATTTGTTTATGAGGAATTTACTTTGTAACAACTTGTGCCAGAATGGACCTATTCTGTTAAGACAAGATTGTTTATGATTTGGATTTTGAGTGGATATTCATATTGCACCAAACTTATGTACACCAAATGAAAATTCAGGTTGACTTTGGCCATTGGAAACTGTTTGCATATGGTGGGACAATTGTTTTTGGGGTAGGATGACCTAATGGCAAGAAGTCGTTAAGTTTTAGATCCATAGAAGTATAAACAAAGGACCTCCCAATGAAAAAAAATTTAAATGACTCAAAGTATTAATTGACTTGCTTCCATGTTTAGCACCAGAGAAAACATTTATGTCTTAAACTTTAATCTCTTCAAACAGAGATAAAAGAAAGACAGACTTTATTTCTCTTCTAGGTAATCGAATTCCTTTGGGTTGCATACAGAGAAAACACAAGAGCGAGTACGTAGGGTTGCCATGAAAAAGCATTGCTCCAAGTGACCAGTTTAGAGTCAATTCTGAAAATAGAGGAACTGGAGACATTTCTAACCATGAACTTGATATCAGAAATGTTATAGGAGTCCTTCTAGGAGGCAGCCATGTTAGGGGTGGTGGCTAATCATTTCAAAGAGTCTTTGCAGTCTGTAAACTCTGTGTTCTAAATATGCCAGTGATTGTTTTGCTCGCTGTATAAAAGATTCGATTATTTTTAAAAGATGCGACAAGCTCTTAATCAAAATTCTGATGTATAGTATTATTTGAATAAATTGGCTAGAGTGAATAATTTAGTTACCTCTACCCAAAATATACTTTAAAAAGGCATAAGGGAAGAACAAACAAACACATGCATCAGCTCTTGGCTATATTCTAAAGTGGATTTTAATAGTTTCATTATATCAAAATCCTGGAAGCAAGTATAATACTAGTCCTAAGCTTGAGGATTAAAATAGCCATTTAAAACACTAACTGTTTTGCTTCCTCTTTCAGTGATGCATTTGATTTTGAGATTGGTGTGGTTATAGTCAGAATCAGCCAAGGATTTGACATCTCTCAGGTTCTTCAGGTGCAAGGTATGTACTTTCTTATTCAACCAACAAGTATTTATTGAGCACCTACTTTGTGCCTGACATTGTTCTAGGATATAGCAGGACACAATATAGACAAAACTCCTTAACGGTGGAGCTTACGTTCTAGTGCTAACTCATAGTGCATATAGTTCCCCCAGTATTTTCTCCAATGCTAACACAAGCAGCCTTTGCCCTGCTAACCACAAATATTGAGGAATTCAAGGTGGTCATCAATTATTTTTCTTATCACAAAACCACAAAGCCAGCATCAAGGAAAATAAACAACTTCAGTAAAATAACCTGCCAAATTAATTTCTGCAAGATGTTTCAGAAAATGAAGATTAATTCTTTCCCCAGAAAAACACGTATTTTGCTTTTGAGAGTCTATGAACTGGTTTGTAGCTAACATGGAAATGAGCCTGAATGTATCATGCTGTGAATCACTAATCTAAGTCAGAGGCAGAAACACTAATTCAGATTAGTGACTCTTTGTTTTTTCCCTGTAGAGAATTTGGTATACTTGCTTAGTCTTAGAATTTAAACATACTCTCTTGTGTATGAAATAAAGAACATACTGATATACTTACTGAAAAATTAGCACAAGACATGAATTCATGACTCATCTCTTCCGCTGAGCCTCACAGCAGAGTCCGCTTACAACACAACATTAAGAAAAAAATGATGCTGTTCTAGTGCCTGTTATGTGCCAGGCATAGTGTAGGTGCAAGTGGTGCTGGGTAGACTAAGATTAATAAATTCTGTCTGTGCCCTCAAGAGACACACAGCCTAGTAAGGGAAGTAGATCAATTATTAGCATTATAATAAGTATAAATAAGGAATTATGGGAAAGAAGGAAGGGGCACCTACCTCACTCCAAAAAGGCGTTCTGGAGAAAATTACCTTTGATTTGAGATTTACTGGATGAGTAGGAGTTAACCAGACAAAGTTGATGGAGAGAAAAGTAAAGAGACAGTTTGGAGAATGCATTCCTGACAAAGAGGAACGTGTTTGCAAAGGTGAGGACATGGGAATAGAGAGGAATGCAGTATATAGACAACCAAAAGCAGATTCATGTTACTGAAGTGAAAAGTAGGAAGCCAACAATAGTAAAATATGAGGCTGCCACTATAAGGAGGATCTAGACTGTAAAAGCCTCATTTGCCATATTAAAAAGATGGATCACATTCTGTAGATAATGAGGAACCATCAGAGAGATTCAAGTGAGGGAATAATGTGGTCAAACTTGGGTTTTAGATCTCATGCTCTTTTGGTTATATGGGGCATGGACTCAGGACTAGAATGGAAATAGACAAATCAAAGAGTTCTACAATAATCAAACAAGACAAGGTGACAGCTTGAACTAGGGCAGCCTCAGTTGGGATGGAGAGAAAAGAACAGAGTTGAAAAGCATTTTGCAGGTACGAAGAGCAGCGTTTGGGAGTTGATTGGATGTGTGGGATATGGGAAAGGGAGGAGTAAAGAAAAACTCCTTGGCTGACTGGATAAGCCAATGGAAATAGGAAATGCAAGAGGAAGTACAGGTTTAATTAGGAAATGCAAGAGGAAGTACAGGTTTAATGAGGAAATGCCTGGCTCAATTTCAAACAATCTCATGTGGGAAATCCTACGGGAAATGTCTAACAGACAGTTAGACAGTCCTCATCGTAAAAGAGAAATCTGAACTGGAAATACAGATTTAGGAGATGTTATGGGCTGAACTGTGTCTCCCCGCCCCCACCAAATTCATATGTTGAAGTGCCAACCCCCAGGACCTCAGAATGTGACTGTATTTGGAGACAGGGTCTTTAAAGAGGTAATTAAGGTAAAATTAGGTTATTTGGGTGGGCCCTAATCCAATATTACTGGTGTCCTTATAAGAAGAGATTAGGATACAGACTGAAGGGTAATCATGTGAAGACATGGTGAGAAGGCAGCTGTCTTCAAGCCAAGGAACAAGGCCTCAGAATGAAATCGATCCTGCTGATGCCTTGATCTTGGACTTCTGGCCTTCAGAATTGTGAGGAAATAAATGTACATTGTTTATGATACCCTGTCTGTGGCATTTGTTATGGCAACCTGGGTGGACTAATACAGGAGACATCATGGCTAATGTGAATTGAAACCATCACCCTAGAAAATAGAACTCAAAGAGTGTGTGTAGCCAAGGACTCCAAAGAGTAGGAAAAAGGCCCCAAAGAAAAGAAGGAGAGGTCAGAAAGATGAAGAAACCAGAAGTCTGGGGTCAGGTAAACCATGGGAGTACAGTGCTCAAAATGAGAATAATCAACATTGCCAAATGCAGCAGAAATGTACAGTAAGATCATGAACCAAATGGAATTGGCATGACACAGGTAATCTTAGTGAAAGTAATTTCTGTAAAGCAGGGTTATCAGAATCGAGATTGCAGTGGGTTGAGAAGAGACTATGAGATGAACGAGCAGAGAATATGGATGTAGCCAACCCTTCTGAGAAGCTTGGATGGTAACAAGAGGAATGAGATTGAGCAGGCTTACTGTGGGGAACCTATAGACCTCTGAATGGGAGATCAAATCATATTTCCAGACTGAGGAAATGGCACAAGAGAGTGTAAACATTGAAGATGTAGGCAAAGAAAGGGGCGACCCATGGAATAAGATCCAGGAGGAACAGAAAATTGAGGGAAAGGCATGAATGGAAGAGTTGGCCTGAAACAGAAAACAAAAAACAAAAAACACTTCATCTAAAATTGGAGCAAAGGAGGTGAGGATTGATGATGGGATACGTGGATTTGTGAGAGTGGAGTGATAAATCAAAGAAGATGATGCACAATAGTCTCAATTCTTTCTTTTAAGCTGGAGCAATGGTTTACTTCTAAAAGCAAGAGAGGAATGGTTTAACTGAGAATGAGAAGAAACTAGTTAAGCATTTTAAAAAGTCATGATAGAGAATGAAAAGGATCAGCAAGAACTGATCAGTGTACAACAGTGAAAACCCAGTTGTGGTTGTCCAGTTTTCTCTGGCAGCATGAAGTCTCCAAGGCACAGGAGCAGTACCAGGGTATTCTCAGTAGGTTCAGCAGAAAGAAAAAAGAATTCTTAAGGGCTGTTGCCTGATGGATTCATATTCTATTTGCTGGTTCATGATTGTCTCCATCAAAACAGGAAAGAATATGAGTGGATTAGGTGAATTTTCTGATGCAACCATTCTGGTATGTTGTAGGAGAAGGAGGATGAAGAAAAAAACTAGAGATCAAGTGTTTTTATAAGGTAGCTACTATCTGATTATGTATACTCTATGATAATGAAGAGCATTAAAAAATAAAACTGCAAGGAGAGTGCATCTTATGCAAAATTGTAGCACAAAAGGTTATCTCTTGGTGACTTCAGCCTTCCTTTGTATGCCCCTTTTCTTCTTTATGGATATTTTAAACTCCAGATCAGAAATACTAACTCCCACTCACTGGGCATTCACTATTAATGTATATTCCCTCCTAGTAGAACTTAATACTTTGTAGCAACAATAGTTAAAATATTTGAGCACTTATTATGCACCGTCTATTATGCTTCATGTTCACATATAACATTTATCATCCCAGCTACCCTACGAGGAGAGTATTATCATTGTCCCCATTTTACAGCTGGTAAAATGGGGGCTTACCCAAGATTCACAAGGCTCGTCATTGGTAGAGCTGGGATTCAAACCTATATCTGTTTGAAGCCCCTGTTTCATCTTTGAAAAAGAAGAGCTAGAGAGGATGATGACATATAACGAGAGGCAATGGGGAAATCTGAGCTCTGGGAATGAGGCAGAGCCGTTTCTATGTGTTCCTTAAGACACCCAACAAGGGGGCTGCCTGTCTGCGGAAAGATAGACCTAACTTTGAGGGCAGTTACAAGAACTGAATATTAACAGAACTGTTCTGTTGCGAACTTCCTAGGTTTTACTTTAATTTTTTTTCCTGGCTTTTGTGCTATAATGTTTTCCATCTAAAAATGAGAATGCAAAATATAACTTGTATTTAGATTACACATTTGCTTTGTGTGTTATGTTGCTCTCTGCAAGCTGAAAGATGTGATGTAGCTGAAAAGCATTGCTCCCACCCCTCATTGTTCCATCTGCCAAGATGCACCATCAATTTACTTCTATAAAGCAATACAGCAACCAAGTTTTGCTGTATTTTTCAAAGAATCCTGGCAGTGAACTGCATCCCCTTTTAATTTCCCAAGGGTTGTATCCTATTTAAATAAACTTTGATGTTTGAAATATTTCTGCTTCTTAGTCAAGAAAGGGAAAATACAATTGGATGCTAATAAAATAATTACAAGTACCAACTATCTAGGGTAAACAAAGAAAAACAATATTATACAAGTACATGAAGAACAAGCAGAAAAACAACATAATGATAGAAATTAACTTTCCGCCACATTTCCATGCATTGTTTTGAGGTTTATGTAATTTATGACACAAACCTCTTATTAGATTTTGAATTGGAAGAAATAAATTTGCATTTCATTATATTATGCTGTAATTCAGGGCCTAATAAGGGCCTGATAAATCTTAAGTATTGCATTATACTATGTTAATGATTATCATCATAGCTTTTCCAACACAGGCACCACAGTGTCATCACAGATTATAATTTAAAGGAAATATTAGCAATTCAGAGTGCCCATATACTGTAGTTAATAAAGCAGTGAATAGAAATCAGCTTTATAGGTAATTTACCAGCTAATGACAATTATTTTTATATTGTATTACAGGCTTATGTGAAGAGAATAACTTTTAATATAAATAAGATCGATGCTCATAACATTGTAACTTGTATACTGTAGCAACTCATCTAATACTGATGACTGATAGTTTCTCTTAATAAATTAATTTATTGCCTGACAACACACACACAAAAAAAAAATCATGATATTTCATACTGCTCACCTCCCAGGGATATTTAGCAAGTTTTCCAACTACAACAAGGAGTCCAAAGTATACTGGTAAGAAATAAAGTGATGGAACATGATTTGCAA